TTTTAATAGGTGTGGGGCTGAGGGTTGTGTCCCGGGGCCTCACAGGCAGCCAGGACGCGTGGTCACCCTGGGCCCTGGGGAGGGATGGGCTGTCGTATTGTTGCAGTGGACGCTGGACCATCCGTTGTCCGAGAGCGCCCTGCACGTGCAGAGATGGCGTGTCCAGGCCCTGGGTCCCGCTGGAGCAGGGCTGTCCCCCTGTGATGGGTGCAAGTGCAGGTTCTGTCACTGTCCCTCGTCCGGAATACCTGGCCCCGTGTGGCCTCTCCCCAACCTCTGACCAGGACCCACGTGCTCTTCACCATCAGATGCTGCCTTTTCCTTTGCTGACCTACATTTCTGTTTTTGGTTTTTTTGTTTTGTGTTTTAATTAATTTTTTATATTTATTTGGCTGCGTCGGGTCTTAGTTGCGGCGTGCGGGCTTCTCTCCAGCTGTGGCACGCGGGCTCAGTAGTTGTGGGGCACGGGCTTAGTTGCCCTGCGGCACGTGGGATCTTAGTTCCCCGATCGTGGATCGAACCTGCGTCCCCTGCGTCGGAAGGCGGATTCTTAACCGCTGGACCACCAGGGAAGTCCGTTTGTTTGTTTGTTTTTTAATTTCAGTAATTTGAGTGAAGGAGGAGAGGGTGTGCCTGTGGCGCCGCGGCTGACGCCCTCCTGGGAGGCGTAGTGAGTCCTTGATACAAACCAGGCCCAGGGGGGCCTCGGGGGCCGGAAGGACGCCCTTGGATGGACAGGAGGAAGTTCTGTAACTGCCCGCCCGAATCACACGCTGAAGCCCTGCCGGTGCCTACAGGGAGGGGGCAGCGCACACGCAGAGCCGGTCACGAGGCCTGTGCCCGGGAGGTACACCTGCGTGCCCAGCGTTTGTGAGGACGCTTGTGAGAAGCTTTGCCTGTGTCTTAGCATCGGTAAAGCTTCACTTCTCCCGGGCAGTGTGCCGAGGGCTCTTTGGAGCTGATGGTCGTGTGCTTGATCAGGCTGTCTCTGCACTGGCGGCTGGGATACCCTGAGCCAGACCTGCATCCCGCCGCCAGCATCTGCTTCTCCATTTGTCCTGTTTCCTTTCCCCCTCATTCCTTTAGCTATTTCTTCTGCTGTTGTATGGGTACTTTTTCATGCTGCTCAAACTTTTTGTGAAAGGAGGAAGAGATGAAAACCAATAAAATACATAAATCGGCTGCTTCAGTACTAGATTTTGTGGGGAGACTAAAAGTGAGTCCTGTGGTTAAGTGTCATGAACGTAGTTGAACCCAACTCTGCAGTGAAGCGGGTGATGCCAGAAACGCCTGACCCATCACTTTACGACCTGGAGACACAGCTCCCGTCGAGGGGGTGACGTTCAGGCTCTCTCTCCTTCCCGGGGCCCGGGGGTCAAAGACAAGGGCCTTGGTTCCTGAGCCCTCACGTCCCTTGCAGGAGAAAAGCACTGACCTTGGGGAGGCCACCCTTGTAGGGGGAGCGGTGGGCAAGTATTAGGGTGACCGGAGGTGGCATTACCCATCCTTCAAGGCTGCTCCCTGCAGACACTGCTCTGGGGTCTCCCCGGAAAGAGGGGCGTCGGGCCTTGCCTTCCTAGCATAGCCGGCAGAAGTAGGCGGGGTGAGGTCCGGTCCCACTGACACCTGCGCCGCTCACACCCGGCCTGGGAGACCCCGTGCTCGGGCGCCGTGTTTCTGACGGATGCACCCGAGTCAGCCCTTAGGGATGTGGTTGGCGAGGGCTCCGAGTGCTTAGGCAGGTGGAGGTGAGCGCGGGAAGCGTGATGCGTGTGCCTGCCGCTGGGCCCTCTGGACTGTCACTGGGCCGCCTGCTGTCACTTTACTCCTCCAGGCCCCTCCCGTCCGCGGTGGCCACACCTCTCAGCCTGTGGCCTCCCCCGCCGACTCTGTCCCTCCCTGCCGCTGTGCACAGCCTGCCCTTAACCTTCACCTGCTCGCGGGCTGCCCCAGCCCCTGGGCTCTGGGGGCCTCCCCGCCTTGTCTGGACGTGCAGTCGCCCTTGGGCTGCTTTGTCCCCGGTCTCCAGCCTCCTGGAGCTCTCACCGCTCAGCCGCATGCTGCGAGCAGAGGATGAAAGGCAGGGCCCGGGCCTGGTTCCCGCAGGTCACCCGCTCCCGCGCGACGCCGGGCTCCCACAGCGCGTGGCGTGTGTGGACCGCGTGTGTTTATGGAAGTGATGGGCACTTAGCAAGCCTAGAGATGTCAGCTGTCATGACGCCTGTTTATCCTTTGGCCCAGCCACACCTTTCTGGGAATCGATTCCGTGAATACCTCAGCGACGGTGTGAATTGATGGGCCCAGAGAGCCAGTCCCGGGTACGGCCCGTGGCGGCCCGGAGCGACCCTCCCAGGTGGCCCGAGCACAGGCCGCAGTCGCTGCCCGGGAGGAGGTGCGGGAGCACCCACACACGGCTGCGGGGAGCTCCGCAGCTTGTCCGGGAGAATCGTGCCCACGGTGAGCTGCCTTCTGTGCAAGGAAGGGAGGGAGATACACACACGTTCTATTTGCCCAGATTTTCCGAAGGAAACAGTGGGAGGGGGAGGGGAGCAACCCCGAAGAGCGACCTCACAGACTGCCAGCTGTGAGGGGCAGGGAATGTGGCCTCCAGACGCACCTCGATGAACAGCTAATTACTTATTAGTGATAACGCTTTGGAACCCTGTATGTGTTGAAGGAAATGGAAACGAAAGTTCAGGGCTGGCTGTGATGCACCGTGGGGGCCACATGGAGGTGCAGGTGGCTGCCCTGAAAGGCCCCTCACCCCGCGCTGGCAGTGGGTTGGGCACAGGGGCCCCTCTGCACGGCCCACTTAGAGGTCTGCAGGCTGCATCCCTGGTCGGGGGACCTGGGTCCTCCATGCAGGCTGCTCATGGGCCTGAAGCATTAGGAGGGGTGGACGGGGCCCACCGGAAAGGCTGCCGCAATCCCGGTCGGGAGTTTTGTTACAGCGATGGGAGCAGTGGGCTGGGCAGTCATGGACGGCGTCCAGTCCGAGTGACGTCGGGTTTGCAGACACGGCCGGGCCTGGCCGAGCCTTGTTGGTGGAGGAAGAGAAGGAGGGCGGCGTGATGTTGCGCCTTGTCTGGGGGGCGTGGACGGGCCTGGCGGTGCGCTAGGATCAGGGCACGAGGGGGGCTTGAAGGACCAGGGTTAAGCTCTTGGGGGACAGAACCAGACGCTGACGGGGCCACCTTAGCCCTCTGAAGTCGAGAAGAAAGCAGGAAGTGCGGGGAGCGTTAGGGTCCCCAGGGGCGCTGCCCCATCTGCCGTCCACGCCCCCCCCTTCCCAGCTCCCCCGCAAGGGGGCCCGCGCACTCTGTTCTGAATATGAATGTAAATTACTCTTTATTAGAAAACCAGCCTGTCTGTGCAGGGGAGGAGGGGTCCTGGAGGAGCATGCTGGTGGGCAGCAGGGTCTCCAAAGAGAGCGAACCCGGGTGAGGGTCAGGTGCTGACCGTTCGCCTGGGTCCTGAGGACTTGACCCAGAGCGAGGCAGCAAATGCCCGAAGGCAGTGCATTGCAGTCGCTGCCCGACGCAGGCACGGTGCTTTCAGCCACTCAAACAAACGCTTTCCGAGAAGCCTCCACCACAAACTCAAACCAGTTCTGTCATCAGTTACAGCTGTTGAATCGGGTCAACATAATCAGATGCCTGAAAAGATTATGAACACTGAAAGGGCTCAGTAAATATCGTAAGAGAGCTGTCCATTTGTGACCTGGACCAGGATACCCGTGGGAGTTTCCTATGGCCATCCTATCGAAGCACCACCGACAGGACAGGAGTCTGTTCTCCCAGAGTCCCAGAGGCTGGACATCCAAGGTCAACTGGCAGGGCGGGCTCCTTCTGTGGCCGCGAGGGGGATTCTGAGCCAGGCCGTGCCTCCACGTCTACCCGCCGCCTGGCTCTCGAGGTTTGCCGCGGTCCTTGGCCTTCCCCCGTGTGCCCGTCTCCAGATCTCCCCTTTTTACAAGGACACCGGCTGTCTTGGACCAGGGCCACCCCCTGTGACCTCACTGGAACTTGGTCACCTCTGGCAGGACTCTATTCCCAAATAAGATCACGTTCTGAGGCCCTGGGAGTCCGGCTTCAACGTGTGAATTGGTGGGGACACAGTTTAGCCCGTCATGATCCCTGTTTGGGCTGTGATGGAAGGGGTTCAGCCTGTGAGGAAGGAATTTTAATTTTTCTAAGACTCTTTGGTCAAGAAAGGGGTCTTTGTGTTTAGTTGTCAGTGACTTTCACACTTGGTCAACTGATAGATTTTAAGTCAAGCTGGGGGAGGGTGGGAGCAGGCATCTCAGCAGACCTTCTGTCCCTGCACTCCTGGCCCTGGCCTGAGCCCCGCAGGCCTGCCCCGTGTCTGCGCGTCTCCTGCGGCTGGGCCGGCTTCTGCCTCAGGCTCTGGTCTCTCCTGGGCTGCTCAGGCCCTCCCTCCGTCCACTCTTGTACTTGTGCATTTAATTTTATCTACCATGTTAAGATGCATACACGAAAGAGCCTTGTTTTTCCAGCTCACACACTGAATGAGTTTTGTGGCTCTGAGGGTTCGGGCTAAATGCCCTTACTGGGGGAGTGAGTTCCAGCTCAGAGGTTACCAGAGGGAACCGCAGTGTTTCCACGCCTGCTCCAGGGGTGACTCCCTTCGTGAGGCCCTGCAAATCCGTCCTGTGTTTGTTGTCTTTACACTGAGACTTGAGCGTTCCCGTGGGCTGGTGGAGACGGATGGATGGGTGACCAAGGAACCTGTTATCTCCCCATAATTATTGTTTAAACAAACTCTGTGAGGTGAGAGCGTCCACCTGTCATTCAGACAAATATTCATGTCTTTGTTAGCCTTGGCCCAGGGTTGATTCATCCAAGGAATGAACAGGGAGGTTTAATTTCTTAAATGCCTTATTGCTGCTTGGAAACTGAATTTTTAAAGATGACACACAACTAGTGACAATCGCAGATTTCTCTCCGTAAATGCGTTTCTTGTCTCTTCACAGGGATCTTCGCTTTAACAGAATCAGAGAGATCCAGCCGGGGGCCTTCAGGGGGCTGAGAAACTTGAACACATTGTAAGTCCAAACATTGTACTGGGAGCCAGTAGAAAAGAGATATCAAAATTATCACACCAGGGCCTTCCCTGGTGGCGCAGTGGTTGGGAGTCCACCTGCCGATGCAGGGGACATGGGTTCGTGCCCCGGTCCGGGAGGATCCCACATGCCGTGGAGCGGCTGGGCCCGTGAGCCATGGCCGCTGGGCCTGCGCGTCCTGAGCCTGTGCTCCGCAACGGGAGAGGCCACAACAGTGAGAGGAGGCCCGCGTACCGCAAAAAAAAAAATTATCACTCCTTTCCCTGTGGGTACATCCCAAGGCTGGGGTCTGAGAAATCGTCACACCTTTCCCTGTGGGTACATCCCGAGGCTGGGGTCTGAGAAATCATCACACCTTTCCCCTGGGGGTAGATCCCGAAGGCTGAGGGACGTCTACCCCATTGCCCACTATGGGTGGGCATGGCTAAGAGGTTTTGCCGTGGAGCCTGACAGAGGGATTTGCTCGTTAAGATGCCAGGACTGGGTCCCAGGCTTGGCGGCCGTCGTGGCCTTTGTCCCCGTGTGTCTCATCTGACCTCTGTGAACCTGTCCATCCTCTGGGTGTGATCCAGGCCTGTGCTGGTCACGTCTCCCACTGCAGGGTCGAGGGGACGGCCCTCCTCTGAGCTAGTACGGGCCCTGGTGGGGTTGGGGTGCTGTCCAGCTGTGTCCTAGGGTTTAGACCCCAACTCCAGGCTGCCATGGGCTGTGCTGAATGCCGTAGGCGGAGACGGGTTCTGGCCCTTCTGCCCCAGGAGGTGACTGTTCTGTGCAGGGCCCGGGGGTCAGGAATGTTCACCACTGCCCTGTAAGCCTTGTGGGGGGGACACGGGTGACTCGGCCCCCAGCTCCCTCCCCGTGAAAAGGAAAGCTCCATGGTGAGACACCCACCTCCAGGACACCCTGCACCTCCGCGAGGGCCTCCCAGTTGGCTGGCGGGGAAATGGAAGAGACGGAAGGATAAAGAGAGACGTATTTGTGCAGGAGAGAGGGGATTGCTTCTCCGCTGTATGCAGAGCTGCAGCAGTGTGCGCTGATATGGACCAGCTCCCTGAGGAAACCTGCAGCTGGGAGCATCCAGCACCAGCAGTGCCCTTGCTTGTGTTAATTTGCCTTTAGTGAATGTCGGTGTTAGGGCTGTGGCTTAATCATAACACAATTCAGAAGCGTGTTGTTTTTAAAATTCTTACTGAGACTTTCTTTCACAGGCTTCTCAACAATAATCAGATCAAGAGTATACCTGGTGGGTCATTTGAAGACTTGGAGAATCTAAAATACCTGTAAGTCATGACCAGTTCTTTACACCGGAGTCTGTTACCTGTATTCGGACTGTTTACTCACTGAGCTAAATATTGTACTGTTCATGAATTATTGTAAATACATTCATGTGAAAAAGAGGTTTTATTTTCGAAAGGTGAGTGAAATTTTGGTTGGGACTTTTAAAATGAGCTGTATCAGTATAAAGTGCTACCTTACGTGATTTCTAGTGTTTATCTGCTAAGCCTTAAGTAAAATAGGTTGAATAAAATTAAAAACTATAGCCTCTGAAAATCATTCTCGGGTAATAATGACGCTTCTTGAGATGGAAGGTGATAAGTTATGTTCAGCCGCCAGTGTGAACAGCTGACATATTTTGTGGGATCTGAGCTTTCAGGGGTGGGCGAGATGTGAGATGGGAATGACAGATCCCTCTGGAATGTCACTAATTCCTGCTAATTTTCCCTATCTTCCGCCAAGTGATTTCACCTCTTATTTTTATGTAAATTTTATTCTACCTTTAAAAATTGATTTGAATTAATGAGTGTATTAGCATTTAAAACATCTGCTTGTTGAAGTCACTTTTGCAGTTAGAAAGTGACCTTGCCTGGTTCAATACCTTCACAGGCACTTATTTTGAAGTTGGAAACTTTAACAAAACACTGAATACACTGCTGGTTCTAACAGATTAGAAGTAGGTATCATGTGCTTTGAGGAAATTACTCTTAATTTTAGGACTGTTCAGCTAGAGCCATTTTAATGAGGGATTGGTATCAGCGATTTGGGGGGAAATGTGTGGCTTAAGTGAACCTGGATGTCTCCAAGTCCTGTTGAGTTTAGGTGAGACAGTGGTTATGAGCAAGAGATAACATTAACTCTTTATTAAATATACCTTCCTCCACAAAGAATCTGAAAGTGTCGTGTCTACACAGTTTTCTCCATCACTTTTGATGAAGTGTATTAATTTTTCATTAGCAATGTTCACACTAAGCTTTGTTGCTCATTTTTAAAATGAGGGAAAGGTCTTCTATTTATTCTTGAGTTTTCATTTATTTACTTACGTTTTGTTTTGGTTTTTGATTTTAAGTGCTGTGTAAGCTCCAGAAGAAAGCCTAGATTCCTTAGAAGCAGAGTCCGTTAACTGATAGCCAGCATTTGCAGTGCGTGTGTGCATGTTTAGTCTGTTTCTATGAAAATTTTTTTTTTACTTTATTTTTTATATTTTTGGTTTGAATAACTTAAGAGCAACTTATCATTTACCCTAGTAGTTAGGGATACTTGATTTTTCACTTAAGACAGTTTTTAAAAGTAATACTTTTAAACCTCATCTGTTGACGGGCTTCCTGTCAAGGCATCCACGTGCCAACCTTTCCCCCTCCCACCTGAACTCATCCGAGACGCCCACGCGGTAGGTTCCAGGGTCACCGGGATGGGCTGAGCAGTGGTCGGCAGTAACGGGAGTGGGGGCGGGTGGCGGGGGGGAGGTGGACCGCTGTGAGAACAGACACCGGGACAGGGATGCAGCCGTGGCTGGAAGGTGTCCCGTGACCCAGCCTTCTCCTCCGACTTCCCAGACCGCATCGGGAGGGTCCATCCTGACACGCACTGACTTAGGAGACTGTGCGGTGTGCATCTTAAGTGTTTACGAAGGCTTCCACAATTTCTTTTTTTTTTTTTTTTTTTTTTTTTTTCTGGGAAAAGTTTTTTTTTTCTTTCAGTTTTTTTTTTTTTTTTTTTTTTTATTTGTCGGAAAAAGTCTTTTTTTCTCTTTCAGTTCTTTTCTTTTCTTTTTTTTTTTTTTTTTTTTTTTTAACATCTTTATTGGGGTATAATTGCTTTACAATGGTGTGTTAGTTTCTGCTTTATAACAGAGTGAGTCAGTTATACATATATATATGTTCCCCGTGCTCTTCCCTCTTTGTCTCCCTCCCTCCCACCCTCCCACCACAATTTCTTGATTATTGCGGCCTTGGTATTTATCTGATCAGTGCCGAAGTGTATTTTCGGAGGTTGAGTGTCCTTACGTGTTGGAGCTCCAGTGACTTCTGGTAAGGGACGCACCTTCGCCTTCATTAAGCTTTTTTCCGGATGATGAAAATTAACCCTTGAGGTAGTTAGAGCTCATATTCAAAGGGTCAACTCTGTGATGCAGTAGAAAATTATTTATGATTTATTGTTAGATCGTGATCAATACCGAGTTATTCTTAGGAAAACAGATGACGCTCCAGTGTCCTCACCAGCACGCATTCATACGTACTCGTTTGGTTCAATTGTATGTATTCTTCGACAGGATTCCTTTACTCTCATCTTGAAGTGCGTGCAAGGCGATGTCCATGTTCATATTTTGTTTTGCTTGTTTGTGTTTAAGAAACAGGCACAGAAACCTTTGTTCAGACTTACCTCCTATAGGGTTAGCCGTGGGAGAAATAACTCACACCTGGACAGGAGTTGCACGTGTGAGGCCCTATTCCAAAGCTCTCTCTATGTTTGTTGAATTTCAGTGATCCTGTGAGGTACTGCTATTCACTCCATCTTACATACGGAGAAACTGAGGCAGAGAACGTTAATTCTTATTCAAGACACACAGCCAGTAGGTGGCAGTTCAAGGCTTCAGACCCCACAGCCTGGAGGAGTAATGTCCGTACCAGGCCTCTTTCAGGCACTGGGCCTCAGTTTCAGGGGGGATTCTGGCTGGTTTGTGTTAAGGCTTGTAGTTCTTGCTGAAGTCGCCTCAGCAGATTTGCGCAGAGAGAGAGGGGAAGGCGCTTGGAAGGACTGCAGTGATTAAAGGCAGCACAGCAGGTCCTGTTAGACTGGGCCGTGCACCAAGTATCATTAAGTAAAACGCATGTCCTGGAAATGAAATAGGCGACGTTACAAGCATTGAGACAAAGCGGCGTCGTTTATTAAGTGGGCAGGTAGGTGAGAGCCCAGCCACTGAGCATCATCCAGTGTGCAGAGAAGGATATGCGTGAGTTACACCGTAGGAAAGGTGTGGATTTTGATCCGTCCCTCTGCCCACATCAGCGATGGAGAAATGCCCGGGGCAGGTGTCTCCACGTCTGATACAGACGGCCGCGGTAGACGTGTGTTCTGAAGTCCAGGACAGATGGGTGGACCCAACACACATGGTTTTGTGTTTCTGGTGGAATTGGATACTTTGGTGTGAAAGTCTTCACCCTTGATGGGTTCCTTCAGGAGTTGGCCAGCCTCTTCTGGAAAGGACAGGGCAGTACACGCTTGAGGCTTTGAGGACCATACGTCTGTGTTTCCATGGGGCACAAAATCAGCCGTAGACCACAGTAAATGAGTCGGCATGGCCATGTGCCAACAAAACTGTATTTTCGGACACTGAAATGTGAATTTCGCCTGATTTTCATGTGTTTCGAAATATTTAACCATTTAGAAACGTTAAGAACCATTCTTAGCGTGCAGGCCTTACAGGAACAGGCAGCGGGCCCATCGGGTGCCCCTTCTCATCAGCCTTGGTTGCTTCTGTCGTAGGAGAATGGGATTCTGAGTGGAAAACAGATTATGTAGTCTTTGTAATTTAGTCTTTGTAATTTCTATTCCCCAGGTTATTTCTGGGCATTTTGAAACTGTATCAGTATCAGTTACAGAAGCCTATATTCAATGCATTTTACCTGTTTTCCGGGAAATGATTTTATTTTCTTCAGGCTTTGAAGCAAATGCTTTGTCAGCTGCTCATAAACTGTCCTCCAAGAATCTGTGAGTTTCCTGAAGACGTGGCGGTGGTCTGATCATCTCCGGTTGGAGGTTTTCCTTAGAAAGGGGAAGGGGAGCCTCCTTGGAGGAAATGTACTTACTGTGTAAAACGTTCTGTTTGTATCCTAATACGATCATGAATTTGAAAACTGTCTCCACGTGCCAACTGAATTCTTCTTTCCACTCTGAGTTACGGTCTGGCGTGCGTGTGCTAATCCTCCCGTGTTTCTTGTTTCAGCTATCTGTACAAGAATGAGATCCAGTCAATTGACAGGCAAGCGTTTAAGGGACTTGCCTCTCTAGAGCAACTGTAAGTGTCTCTCCTCTGCTCTGCGGTGTATTAGATCTCACCTGCCCTTTGCCTCTTGCGGGGGGAAAACTAGACCATCTGTTTGCACGATGCATGTCTGTGCCCCGGGGGCGTAGGGCTGTGTGCATGCAGATGACAAAGCCGTGGCCCCTCCCTCCTTCTGACCCCGCCCATCTGGGCAGCCACCCCACACCCTGTGCCCTGCCTTCCTGGGGCAAAGGACCAGTAACACCGGTTGACCCCTGTCCCCGTGGTGCTTCCGGTTTAACGAGATAGACCTGTAAACAGATCCGAGCAAGTAGAGGCCTTTTGGGGACCAGGAAGTTGTTTTCCTCGTACAGTGTTTCCTGTTTGTGAATCTGCACGTCCGGTTTGCTTGCGTCCTTCCTGATGTCATTATTTTGGAGAAAATAAACTTTTCCATGTGTTTCCAGTTAGGGTACGCTGGATGTTGTTTCTTGGGCTGCATATGAAGTCCCACTTTGCTGTGAAGTCAGCATGCCCATTTTAAGTAGAATTCCCGGTCAAAGGCATTTTCTGACTTGTTTGCTTGGCCGGTCACCTGTCCATCAATGGGCTGGAGTCATCACGTGTCAGGCAGTTTTATTCACGTGGATGCTGCAGCTGAGGATGTGGTTCGTGTTCTGTCAGTTGGCCGGACATGGAAACATCTCCAGAGACCTTGAGGCAGAGCTGGGGAGGCCTCACCTGAACCAGGAGCTTCCGAAGCACACGCAGGTCCCTGGTTTTTAGATGCCCATTTATTTATCCAGCTGAGAGCCACTTTCCCGAGCCTGCTGTGCTCGTCGTGGGCTGGATTTAGAAAGAAGTTGTAGATGAGGGGCTGTGCACCCTCGGCTTCAGGGAGAATGACATAGGGATCAGATCATCACAGAAACACGTGGGAATATCTGGAGAAGCCCCAGGTGGAGGGAGGGTCCCCGGAACACGTTCCTGCATCTGACGCACTTTTAATGGATCTGGGGCTGGGATTTACACGTGCTGTCAGGTATGGAACTAAGTGAGGCCCATCGAGCCTTGGGAGGGGGTGAGCGGGGTTATTTTTGAGGAAAACAGAGGCAAAGTCTGGGAGAAATGAGGAGGGAAGGGGAATGGCATCCACGGAGCGCCCAGTGGGAGTTGGTGACCAAGGTCCTAGGGATTCGGGACAGCATCCTGAGTCAGGCTGCCTCCAAACCCAGGATCAGGCGCTGGAGGTGAGGGGTCTCTGCTGCTGAGACTTAGGGACGAAGGGAGATTGGGACCTGTCCCCGCCCCTCGGGGAGGCACTGTGAGGGGGAGGGGAGCGTTCCCCTAGGAACGCGCTCAGATCTGCCCCCGCCGCGTGCAGAGCGCTTCGGGTCCCCATTCTCGCAGGGCCCCCCATGCCCAGAGCTGGCACACGTGCTCCAGCTGAGGGGAGGCTGGTCCCGAGCCCCGTGTCTGCCCAGCATCTCGGCTCTCACAGGCCTTAAAAGATAAGCGGAGGTTTATACAAATGTTTAGAGTTTATTTGAGCGAAATCGATTGGGACAGAGCCTCAGCAACCGGCCGTGTGTGGACACCCCCTGCCCCAGGGCTGCGGGAAGACTCCTGGAGCAGGCGCAGATGCAGAGCAGGGCACTTGGTGACGGGCTGCAGCTCCGGCCGGCCGGCTGCCCAAAGTGTGTCCTTAGCTCTGGTCTCTAACCCGGAGGCGCTGACAGGCACCTTAGGCCGCACGTTAGACCCGCCCCGTCCAGCAGGCTCACCTGGGCTCCCTGAGAGGCCAGCTGCAGGCAGGGGGTGGGGACTGTGGACGGCGCTGGGGGCTCTCTTCCTGCCTTCAGCCCGTTTTCCTCCACCATCGGGAGAGGTGGCCACAGCCCAGGGGGCCTGTGAACCCTGAGCCCCTCAAGGCAGCACCGGCGTCCGGTCAGCCTCCCCCTGGCTGTCGGCATGTGGATTTTTAAACAGCATCAGGTTGGGACCGGCGTGTCTTCCCTTCTCTCCCTCCCTTGGCTTCGCCCAGGACCCGGCCGGCCGGCCGGCCCGCGGTCTCTGGAGCAGCGCGGCTGAGCGTGTCTGCTCCCCGTGTCTGTGCTTAATGAGGCGGCCCCAGGCTGCTCCTCGGTGGCCGCTGGAAGTGCACGTCCTGCATAGTCAGGACGGGGCGTTTCCTGCCCCCGCCGTCCTGCCCTCAGGCCCCCACTCTCGCAGGGAGGGCGGTGGGCACAGACCCGGCCCCCACCAGGCTGCCTGCCCGCAGAGGAGGTGGGCAGCTCTGTGGCCGCGTGGTCACCACGGTGGTTCTCCCGGCGAGCTGGCCCAGGGCAGGCCGGACACCAACAGGACAGGACGAGGGACTCTGAGGTTCCGTCATTTCAGAAAGTCAGTGAAAGGCTGCACCTGGTGGAGGGAGTGTGGAGAGAGCTCTCCTTTGCGTGGGTTTGTGCTGTGACCCCGCTGGCCCCAGCGTCTCGTGAAGATGCAGCCTGGCGTGTCGGGCCAGGTCCCTGTGTGGCAGGAGGGGCTCCTGCACGAGCACCGGTTAGAGGGGGCTTCCTTGTATTTCTAAGGCAAAAGACCACCAATTTTCAAAGTGAGAAAGGCGGTATGCAAGACAATGAGAAGAAATTAGTTTTACGAAAAAATGTGTAACTTACGGCAAGTAAGGACTCAGAAAGAAGTGTAAGCTCTGGATGGTCTATGTAACTAAAGGACATTTGAGGAAATACATTATTTCGCTTAACTCAGGGTCAGGTTTCTTCTGTTATTTCTGTAGTTGCTGTTTCTGTAGCTGAAAAACAATATACCCAATGTCACCTTGAAGTGTAAGTCTCCTAAATCCTAAATCCGTTTGTAAATTAAAAGATTGGAATGCAGGCATTCACGTACTGCGTGTGTGGTGTAATGAAGATCATGTTGATTTTTTTCTAGGAAGGTCCGTGTATTTGGAGAGCTGAGCGTCCCTGGCTTTCCCCGCTGGGTGGGGAGGAAGCCCGGTCGGTGTGCTCGACCCTTAGTCGTATTGTCCAGTCAATCAGTTAAAGTCTGCACCCAGCTTTCCGTTGTCTTTAATCTTCCTATTTGATGACTTCGTTTGTTTTCCATACGACGTAGGAGATCTAGAGAGTTATCTATTGACGCGTGTATTTGAAATGACTTAGAGAACAAATGTTTTCAGCAGAACCCTATAGATCTATAACAAGTATAAAATTGTTTAAAATTTGTTTCTTTTTCCCATTTTCAAAAACTCCTCTAGATACCTGCACTTTAATCAGATAGAAACTTTGGACCCAGAGTCATTTCAGCATTTGCCGAAGCTGGAGAGGCTGTAAGTAGTGTTGGTTGCCCCTCTTTATACCTGCAGGTCCTGGAGCTTGTGGCTCTGTCCATTTCCTGTAACAGAAAGAACATCTATGTCTGTTCAAACACCCGGAAAACATCTCAGTAGGAAATCTGTTCTCTCCTCTAACAGTTCAGAAGTGGGAATAGTGCTAAAATAGAAAAAAATGTAGCTACTTTCTGTACTAAATAACATTGTTCTCAAATTCATTTACATTAAACAAAGGCAGTCACTGGGATGTTCTTTGAAAGCTGATTTATTTGACTGCTTATACACTTTTCTACGTGTCTAGGAAAGTATTTTAAAGAATTGCTGTGGTTTATCACCTCTTTCAACAGGTTTTTACATAACAACCGAATTACACATTTGGTTCCGGGAACATTTAATCACTTGGAATCTATGAAAAGATTGTAAGTATAATAACCCTTTATGCTGTCTTTTCAGCAAAGACTAACAATTTCTCCATGTCATACGCATTTACCTGACCCTTTTTACTGGGTATTTCAAAGAAGAGTTCATCACAGTCTGGATATGAATTAGGAAGGGAGGGTGAATTAAGCCATCAGAACGCAGAACCAAGACCTAGCTGGCTTGGGGGAATGTGGCAGCAGATTAACCCTTTAATAGGCAAGGAAGACGTTTTTAAAAATCAATTTTAAAATTAATCTTTAATTCCATGTTACATATTGTACTGGTGGAAATAAAATTGGCCTAGAAGTAATCTCAACTGTATTGCATTCCTTTTATTTAGGCGTGCACATAACTGAATTCTGTCCCTTTTTAGGTCTCTAAAAATAATTTATCTTTACACTGAGTAATTTCTTATAATAGCTGATGGAGAAAGCTATCTGACATCTTTTGTGTGTTTTTCTCCAAGGTCTGGAAGGCCGTTGTTTTTCCGTTAGGTATTACTGAGAGTGTACAATGAACCGGATTTAAGAAAGAGATTAGAAAAGTCAAATTACCAGGCCTGGGCCCAGAGTGGCCTTTGTTTCTCTCTTGAGTTAAGTAAGACACAGAGTTTCCTCACTACTCATGATTTTTTTCTTTATAGGATAAAGAAATCCTCAGCCAAACTCAAAACTATGTTCTAGGGTGGCAGATGAGAGAAACACTGCCTGTTTGGTAGATAAGAGAGGGTCGGAAAGAAATTGCCAGAAGTTGCCAAGACGAGCTCAGGGCACGTCGGGGTTACCTGAGTCTACAGCAGGCTGGCAAGGTTCTTCTCCGTCTCTGCCTCCTTTTTGGCCTTTGGATGGTCTAGCTCTGCCCTCTGCATCTGCTCGGCCTGTGAAACCCTAGGTTTCTCGGCCCCAGCGAACCTCCCCCTCCCCGCCAGACGGCAGAGGGGAGCATGCAGTCGGGGGCTTCCTGCTCTGGCCGCTTGGCCCAGGGGCCGCTGGCCGGGGTCACACACCTGCTCATCCACTGTCCCTGGGGCCCGTCCTGAGCACAGAGGTGCTGCCGTTTATTCAGAGGGGCTCTGGGGTCAGCGGGCGCCGGGAAGGTTCTGGGTCCCCCACGGCCTGCTGACCTGAGGAGGCGGCGGCGGGGAGGTTCTGTCTTGTCTGCGTTGAGCCCTGTGGATTCTGCGGGACGTGCTCATCAGAGCTGGCCATCCAGACAGAGGGCCAGTTCTGCCTGCTGCCCCCTCCGAGCCAGCGTCCCGGAGAAATGCAAGTGGGAGGTGTGCCATCACGGGCCCGCCTCCCTGGGGAGCTCTGGCCTGCAGGTGTGAGCTCAGTGGACGCCCGAGGGCAGCCCCTCGGCTCTGATCCCGGGGAGCTCCCTCTGAACGGGGCCAGCCCTGCTGCCGCCTCCTCGCTCTTGGTTCACGTCCTCCTGTTACACTCCTTACCTTGTGCTTTGCTGCATAAATGGCCATCGTTTCGGCGGGAGGAGATGACACCCTGCCTGTTCCGCTTGTTGGGACGGATGTGTCCAGCCTCATGGGGCACTTTCTCCCGGGACTTGCAGCATAATTCAGCAGCTGAGATTTGTGCCCTGTGGGCTGACTGTCCTTTAGGGCGTATTTAAGGGTTAAGCGGGGTAGTACATGATGACGCGGTGCCAGTGGTGATGCGAGTTCGGGAATCGTTCCGGGTGGCGGGGATTTCTGCAGTTACTGATTTTACAAAGGCTCCTGTCTTGTGCTTTTCATGAAACTTCCCGGACTCGTCCAGCACATATCTGTCCCTCGGTCTTGAACCTAAAATATACAGTATTTGATTTGCTCCCTTCACAGCCCTTTATTTGCGTTATTCGGGTTTCCCCCACTCTCGGGCTCTTCTTTCTGCCGAGTGTGGATCTCTGCTGGGTCCCCTGGTCGGGCAGGACCGGGTCAGATTCTGTTGTCTGCGGGCCCCATCACTGCTGGTCAATTCGGGTCTGCCTGGCCTGGGTCAGCCCTTGCCCATCCCACGTCTCACCGGCTGCGGCTTCCTTCTCGTAGGCGTCTGGACTCCAACGCGCTTCACTGTGACTGTGAGATCCTGTGGCTGGCGGACTTGCTGAAGAGCTACGCCCGGTCGGGGAACGCACAGGCAGCGGCCACCTGTGAATATCCCAGGCGCATCCAGGGGCGGTCGGTGGCCGCCATCACCCCGGAGGAGCTGGACTGTGGTGAGTGAGTCCTGGTGCCCAAGCCCGCATTGGTGTCCGGAGGGCACGGCGTGTGCAGCCCTGTCTCCAGCTGTCACTGGCTGATCCCACAGATCACGTCTGGGTGGGGCCTGACCGGACCCTGCTTTACAAAGCCCGTCTCTGTAGTACCTGTAAGAAACTAACTATCTGGTAATAAACTTGGGTTTAATTTTCAGGTTTCCCTGCAAAAAAAATTAGCAACCTGAAATGCACCACTACCTCTGTTGCTCCCTCCAGGCCTCTGCCTTTAGAGGCTGCAGCTGCCTAGCCGGCAGGACCCCATGGTGGGCTGGGGGTCGGGGGGGGGCTTTGCTGCATAAATGGCCATCGTTTCGGCGGGAGGAGATGACACCCTGCCTGTTCCGCTTGTTGGGACGGATGTGTCCAGCCTCATGGGGCACTTTCTCCCGGGACTTGCAGCATAATTCAGCAGCTGAGATTTGTGCCCTGTGGGCTGACTGTCCTTTAGGGCGTATTTAAGGGTTAAGCGGGGTAGTACATGATGACGCGGTGCCAGTGGTGATGCGAGTTCGGGAATCGTTCCGGGTGGCGGGGATTTCTGCAGTTACTGATTTTACAAAGGCTCCTGTCTTGTGCTTTTCATGAAACTTCCCGGACTCGTCCAGCACATATCTGTCCCTCGGTCTTGAACCTAAAATATACAGTATTTGATTTGCTCCCTTCACAGCCCTTTATTTGCGTTATTCGGGTTTCCCCCACTCTCGGGCTCTTCTTTCTGCCGAGTGTGGATCTCTGCTGGGTCCCCTGGTCGGGCAGGACCGGGTCAGATTCTGTTGTCTGCGGGCCCCATCACTGCTGGTCAATTCGGGTCTGCCTGGCCTGGGTCAGCCCTTGCCCATCCCACGTCTCACCGGCTGCGGCTTCCTTCTCGTAGGCGTCTGGACTCCAACGCGCTTCACTGTGACTGTGAGATCCTGTGGCTGGCGGACTTGCTGAAGAGCTACGCCCGGTCGGGGAACGCACAGGCAGCGGCCACCTGTGAATATCCCAGGCGCATCCAGGGGCGGTCGGTGGCCGCCATCACCCCGGAGGAGCTGGACTGTGGTGAGTGAGTCCTGGTGCCCAAGCCCGCATTGGTGTCCGGAGGGCACGGCGTGTGCAGCCCTGTCTCCAGCTGTCACTGGCTGATCCCACAGATCACGTCTGGGTGGGGCCTGACCGGACCCTGCTTTACAAAGCCCGTCTCTGTAGTACCTGTAAGAAACTAACTATCTGGTAATAAACTTGGGTTTAATTTTCAGGTTTCCCTGCAAAAAAAATTAGCAACCTGAAATGCACCACTACCTCTGTTGCTCCCTCCAGGCCTCTGCCTTTAGAGGCTGCAGCTGCCTAGCCGGCAGGACCCCATGGTGGGCTGGGTGTCGGGGGTGGGGGCGGTTTCTGGGGGAGGGCGCAAGGCTGCTGGCTGGGAGCTGGCAGCCTCCTGGGTCTGGATCTGAGTGGCGGCCACGCAGAGTGGCCGTAGGCCGAGTTTGTCCGGCTTGTTGCACCTGTGCACCGCTTGCGCGTACGCAGTGCCTCACGAAGAAACACAAGAAAAGGAGCGAAATCAAATCTCGCAGGACAAATCTTCCTAATTAATAAACGCCCAAGGAATCCAGCTTTTCTTTTAAGTTTAGCACTTTTGCGGGGGTGGTGCTAAAAGTAGGTTCTCCAGAGCATCATTATTATTTTCAGATATTGAAAACAAAATTAATTACTTTGAAGGTCACTCCATTTCATAGCAACCCACCCCCACCCCCGCCGCAGTTAAGTAACTTCACTTGTCACCGTTTGTAACGCTTTACGAGCGATCCCCATACAGTCAGGCTCCTTGCCTCTAGTGTGTGCAGGTGACTGACTTCAGTCCCGGGGCCACCCTGTGGCCTCTGCGTGTCGTGCCCTCGTCTTTGTAAGGGCTGCTCCGCTGGCAGGGGTCCCGCAGGATGGGCAGCAGTGCTGTGCTGTGTGCACCCTGTTCTCAAGACTGTCTCCTTAGGATCGGCTTCCTGGGCAAAGGATGGGTGGAGGAGGGGAGGTTGCTCCCTCTGACCTCTGCCCTCTGGACCTGCTTGGGGGTCACGACAGGTTCACTTCCCTGTGCCCACCTTGGGGCTGCCCTCCTGAGTCGGCCTGGGTTCTGCCCACCTCTCTTCTGGGGGAGGAGTGGACCCTCCTCCCTCAGTCCCACCCCAGCCCAGCTCCGACCTGGTCAACAGGGGCCAGGCTGGGGTGACCGAGGTGGCGGTGCCTTGAACTTTCTGAACTCCTGGGGCCTCGCGGGACGCCTGGGGACGACGCCTCTGCCCTTAGTGTCCTGGCAGGTCCTCAGTTGCTGCCGGTCACTGGGGGGCGCTCAGGAGGGTGGTCCTTCCTCCAGCTCCTTCAGCACCATTGCCTCTTTCCTGGAGACAGAATGGGGAAGCAGAGCTTTCTCCAAGTCCCCAAATTCAGCACGTCAGAGAGGATGGCGAGTAGGCGAATGTGGCGCCAGGGATGAGCGGTGGGGCTGGGGGTCCTCCGGCTACAGCAGAGGAAGCTGCAGTGTCCACACTGGCGTGGGGAGCAGGGCGGCTGGGAGTGGAAACGGGGGTAGCGCGGCCTCGGGGGGTTAACGTGGACGGCGGTGAGTCCGAGGGGTTTCCTGTTGACGCTGTCTAGTAGTAGACACGCAGATGGCCTTTTGTGCCTGTTTAAGATGCCAGATGTTGTGAAGGCACTGTGCACACACTTGCAGGCACATGCACAGGTACACACAGGCACACACAGGCACATGCACGCATGTACACACACATAGGAGCACACGCATTTGCACGTGAGCATGCTTTTTCTTTTTCCACGTGGCATGTCATGAATACATCTGGGCTGAGAGGGGTCAGTTCTCCGAGTTTCCTAGTTAGTAGGTGACCAGTCCAGCTTGCTGTGAGGACACAGAGAGGACAGTCACCCAGCAGCTGGAGTGCAGGAGGGATGCCTCTCTGTGCTCAGTGACTGGGTGGCCGTGGGGGACTGCAGTGGGAACCCCACACTGAGATGGTCCCGCGGTTGGGAGCCCTTGGCCGCACCTGCACAGCCTCTGCCTTCGTGGCGGCTTCAGCTGAAAAGCGCCGCTGTCTGTCCTTTCATTCGCTAAAACTGTTTACTCACGAGTGTCCGGCTCTCTCGGGGGGAGCGCCCACTGAGGTCGTCACCCGGTGCTCTGTCTGTCAGAGGCTCAGCGCCACCCAGTCGCCAGGGTTCTCAGCGGGTGGACCTCAGATGCTGGCAATGCTGTGTAATTCAGCTCTAACACCGTCTTCTCCATGGAGATGCCCCCCTACCGTTCTCGTGGGAGTGATTTTGTCTCGAACAGAAGGGCTTTGCTCTGGGTTCTTGTCACGTGACGGTTTAAGACCAGGAAGGTCTGCTTTCCTTTTTGGTGCAGAAAGGCCGCGGATCACGTCGGAGCCGCAGGACGCAGACGTCACCCTGGGCAACACCGTTTTCTTCACCTGCAGGGCTGAGGGCAACCCCAAGCCCGAGATCATCTGGCTCCGAAACAAGTAAGTGGCTCTGGACAGGCCGCCGGGGGCGCCGGGTCGCGTTCCATCCAGATGCCCCCTGAGCCGCGGCCGATCCGCCCGCCCCGACCCTTCCTCCTCCCTGGAAGGAGAGCAAGGAGGAGGGAACGCTTTCCGGGCATCCTTTCTGCTTTGAAGTCGCCGCCGGGCACATCCCGGCCTCTGCGAGGCGCACGGCCCGAGTCATCCTCTGCTGGGCTTGGTCCTGGTCAGCGAGGCCGGTCATCATGGAAGCGGTAGTTACCCCCGCCCGGGGAGAGGAACGGGACGGAACCGGGGCTGAGGTCCCTGCGTCCCGAGGAGGTGAGGGAGGGTCCTCCCTGCGGGTGGCATCTTCAGGGAGACCCTGTGAGGTGAACGCATGCACTTTGCTCCTGTGCATCTGATTTGTCTCCGGAAACCAAGGCCTCGCCTTCTGTCCACAAGCATCCTGGTATGGGGGGGGGGGGGGTGG